TTTTTTTTGAGATGTTGCCCTATTTGGAATACCACCACGCGAATATTTCTTTTAAGATAGATTGTTGCCATCACAACACAGCAATATATAAGTGTAATTTTCTTTTTACACGAATTATTAAAAATGCCACCAAAAAACGACTATCCATTAAAGTTTTCAGGTGAAGAACTCAACGGCAAAGAAAAAAAGTTGTATAGAATATCAGGAAAATATTTTGAAACCTACCAAACAACAGCATGGAGTATAGATAGTTTTTTAGATTACTTAGACAATAATAAAGGAAACTCCCATAAGTTTCCTTTAATTGTCAAAAAAGAAATCTTTACGAGTTGGCTTGAAAAGAAATTAGAATGTGGAAACATAAGCAGTCAAGTATATTTAAACTTGTTAAGAGAAACAAAAAAAGTTAAGTTTATTATTTCATATAAACGTATATTTTCTGTAATATGTAATGATGTAAATGATATTGTATCTAGCGATACATAGTATTTTTTTGAGTTGCAACCTCATTTATATATAAGTTGTGATTCATATTTAGATAGTATTCATTCACTGAGATCTCGTATTTTGCGATGCGTAGAAATTATCACTACCTCACTCGTAGGGATCAATATGTGATATAATAAATTTGAGCAAAACATATTAAAGTGAGATCTTAGATATCTCATTATGTAGATGTTCTTGCGACATGGTTACTTATTTTGCTGAATGATGATAATCTAATTTAAAAACTGCTTATCATTTATTTATAGATTAATATTAATACACATTTTAATATTAATTTATAGAAAAAATCCGACGCAATCCCTTCCAGATCACTTATTAAAACCGGAAAGCCGTGTGATAATTATATTAATTTTGATGGTATTTACTGTTTTTTTTTTATTTTTTGTAAAAGGTATCTTTTTTAATAATGGTTTATGATTTGTTCATTTATAGATTACACGGAGCAAACCATTACAAAAGAGACAGAAGGTACTTTGCGTATTGAAATAAACAAGGATATTTCGTTATATGACGAGCCCGGTTACATATACATTTATAAAGGTTTGTGATTTTTAATTTTTTGACATAAAATTTCATAAACACATTACTAATTGATATAATAATATATAGTATCAAATAAAGAGAAAAAATCG